CAAGAAAAAAACAAAATAGTTATTTTTTCCCAAGTTTTTTCCCGAGCCAAATTTTGTTTTTTTCTCCACAAGCCCCTCCAATGTCCAAACACAACAAAAAATTGCACGCAGCTTGCAGACCCGAGCCTCTTTGATGCCAGAAAATTTCATATTTTTTTGAATTTTCTTGCTATTTTTTGAATTTATTGTTCACAAGCGTACATATTTATTGTTTTTTCTCTGACACGAGCTCCTGGAATGTACAAACAGCACGAAACTTTGCACGCACCTTACATACCTAAGTATATTTGATCCCACAAATTTTCAGATTTTTTAGAATTTTTTTGCTATTTTTTTCAGGACAGTCAAAGCCCTTTGACCGGACGGTAATGGCACGGAAGGGTATTTCTATAAGTGCATGTCACATCCCTAGTCTGGTATGACTTAGACTAGCTGGCCATTTGTGCATCATATTTAAATTCCATTTAAATATGAAATGAGGATTGGTGGAACCCTCAGAATCATTTTTTAAAATGACCCAAATAAAAATTTCTCCAAAAGGGTCCAAGAAAATGCTCATGTTGCCCTCTGAAAATATTGGACAGAGATAAAAATCAAAACAATATTTTTAGGAGCTCATGGATATTTATTTTGGCCATTTGGATTAACTCGATAAATATTTGCATTGGAAATATATTTCTATATATATGAAATATGGTCCAAAAATTATGCCATTTATAAAGGAGCTCTGGAATAATATATCTAGCTCCTGCAAAAATTGGCATAAGGTGATAAAATGATTTAATATTTTAATTAAATCAAAACAAATGTCAGAAATTAGAAAACAGAAATAAATAAAGGAGGGGCTTACCTGGGGCTTCCCCCTGTGCAGCCCAGCCGCAGCAGGCCGGCCCAGCCAGCAGGCGGCCCAGCCCACCTGGCCCCCCTCCTCTGTCGTCTTCCTCCCCGACAGGGAGGGGAGCGTGCCCGGCGCGCGCGCGCGCCACCGCGCCACGCCACCTCCCTGCCTGCCTGCCTGGCGCCCTTCTCGTCGCCCTCGATGCGCCGGACGACGCCACGCAGCCACCCCGACCCCCTCGCACTCTCCCTCGCCCTCATTCCCTTCCCCTGCTCTCTCTCCCTCTCACCCGAAGCACCGCCGCCGCCGCAGCTCACCAACGACGCGCTCCCCGCCGTTCCCTCGCCCCTTCGTAGAGTCCCCGAGCTCCGCCGCGACCCCCTCTCCCTCCTCACCGAGCAAGCAACCCGGGGGAGCCCCGCTTCATCGCAATCGCCGTCGTCTTCAAGCTCCGGCCGACGAGATCGTCGTCGTCGCTCCGGCTGCCCCAAGCCTTCCCCGAGCTCGCCGACGACGCCGTTGGATCCGCGGTGAGCTCCTCCACCGTTCCCCTCTCTTCTCCCCCTCGTTTCCGCGCCGTAGCGCCGCTCCCCACCACGGCCGAAGCCTCTTGCCGCCGTCCATGTCACCGTCGCCGTCTCGGCCCGCCTCCGCCCAAACCGAGCATCCCTTCGCGCTCCCAGTGCCACGAGGGTGCCGCCGAGCCCCTCAGGTGGCCTCCCCGTGCCCCGCAGCCCATTTCCGCTCGAAGCCGAACTCCGGCCGCCGCCCCGAGCTTCGCTCCGGCGAGCTCCGGCATCCCCGCGGCTTCCCGTCTGCTCCCCTGGATGCGGACGAGCCCGGGCTACGCCCCGGTGCTCTCCGACGCCGTCCCCGTGGCCTGTGGCGCGGACTCCGCCGCGTCCAGAGGTCGCCGGCGGCGAGCCCCGTCGCCTGAGCCTGCCATGTGGGCCCGGCCCGTCAGGTGATTAGCTTAGTGCTAATCACTGCTTAATTAACCCCCCCTGTCACTGACATGTGGGCCCCGGTGCCCCCTAACCTTTTAATTAAGTTAATTAACCCCTATTTAACCCCCCTGTCACTGACGTGTGGGTCCCACACGTCAGGTTTGACCCGGACCAGCCCAGTTGACCGCTGACGTCGTGCTGACATCATGCTGACGCAATTATTTATTTTCTGGAATTAAAATAATTCAGAAAATCCAGAAAATGATTTAAACTTCAAAAATTCATAACAATTCAACCGTAGCTCAGATTAAAATAATTTATATATGAAAAATTATCAGAAAAATGCAACCTTTCCATCTGTACTAGTTTCATGCATGAAAAACCAACTTATACATGCTGAATATGGGAAAACACATTATGGCATATATAAGAGACTTAATTTAGAAATGCATTTGAACCTTTGGTTCAAATGGACTTCAAATCAAATGTTTACTAGTTGCATTAGCTCAAACAGCATCACATCTACATGCCATGTTCATGCATCATATTGTTGCATATGATTGTGTATTGATTGCCGGCACCGTTCCTTCTCGATAGGTCCTGCTCCGGAGACGTTCCAGAGTACCTGTCTGTGAAGCAGTGCCTCCCTTGTTGTTTTACCAGGCAAGCAAACCCCCTTGTTCATTTCGATAAAACCCTACTCTCTCGCTCCTGCTCTCAGTTATTGCATTAGGACAACAACGATTCATCTGCTACTTTTGTGCTGCGGTAGTTGAACCCATTCCTCTGCATGACCTGTCATTGCCACAGTAAATAGTTGAAACCCACTACATGTGTAGGAGTTGATTGAAGCCACTGATGTGTTCCTACCATGCTATGCCTGCTATTGCTTAGAGTTGTGTCAGGTCTAATTCATTGGGAATGAATTGGAGTGTCACGATATGTTCTGATGCTGAGAGTTAAGTGTGTGAACACGATTTGGTAAAGGTAGTGGTGAGAGGCCATGTAGGAGTACATGGTGGGTTGTCTCACTGGAACCGTCCTTAAGCACTGAGTTCTATGCATGTTGTCCAATGACTCGATACTACCACACATTGGGATCCTTAATTGACTCTCTCGACTTATTAACCGACTTGATCTCTGTCCAGGAGTCGCAACTAGTTTCTGGTGTTTGTAGGTAGTGCTATTTTTCTACCAAGTGGCACCCGGCAGGGTGGGCTTGGGACAGACTAGGCACACGTGGCCCGGTGTACCGAGTGGCACCCGGTTGGTGGGCTCGGGAACCCTGCTCACATCGTTTGGGGCCGTGAGCGACACCCCGGCCGGATCTCCTTGCGGATGGAACCCGAATAGGCGATAAACCTGGACTAGAGTCTTGTGTGGTTAGTCAGGTCGTGGCCGACACCCTCGCCAGGCTTCCGCTTGAAGGTTGCCGAGATACATGACGTGTACATGGCGGTAAGTGGCGAGAGCGTGTGTGAAGAAGTACACCCCTGCAGGGTTAACATGATCTATTCGAATAGCCGGGTCCGCGGTTATGGACTTCTTGGATGCTTACATGGTACATAGACAACTTGAAGTGGATACTATAAAATGCTCCAGACAAGTGTGAGTGTTATGGATGGCCTTCTCGTAGGGAGACGGGGATGAATCCATAATGGTGTATTGTATGGTGATTAGTGGACTCGTGTACGTTGTTTCACCTCCAGAGTTTCTGGTAGTCGTAAAACAGGATAGCCACAGAGTCAAAGCTGGCTTGCTGCTACTAAACCCCACATTACCCTCTTGATACAAATGCATGTATGATAGGATCTGATGTAAGTCTTGCTGAGTACCTTTGTACTCATGTTGCTTTATTTATGTTTTTGCAGCGGAGACTTCGGTCTTACTAGTGTTCTCGTGGACTTCGACTAGTAGCTAGTACCTCAGCTACGATCTTGATCGGATGTTGTAGATAGTCAGGCTTTCAGCCTTTTTCATTTGTAGATGTCTGTACCCAGACATGTAATGCTTCCGCTTGTTGCTTGTATGCTCTGTATGATGGGTCTTGTGACCCCTATTTGCAATAAATGCTATGATGGCTCTTCTGAGCCTTTATCTATATGAGTTGTTGAGTTATGCTGTGATGCCATGTTGTACAGCACATACTTGCATGTTATGCGTACGTGTAATGTGTATAGCTATGTGTGGGATCTGACTATCTAGTTGTTTATCCTTAGTAGTCTCTCTTACCGGGAAATGTCTCCTAGTGCTTCCACTGAGCCCTGGTAGCTTGCTACTGCTCCGGAACACTTAGGCTGGCCGGCATGTGTCCTTCTTCGTTCCTGTGTCTGTCCCTTCGGGGAAATGTCACGCGATGAATACCGGAGTCCTGTTAGCCCGCTACAGCCCGGTTCACCGGAGTCCTGTTAGCCCAGTGCTACAGCCTGGATTCACTCGCTGATGACCGACACGTTCGATGCTGGGTCATGGATGCCTGTCCCTGTAAGTTAGTGCCACTTTGGGTTTACGACTAGCCATGTCAACCCGGGCTCTTTATCATATGGATGCTAGCGACACCATCATATACGTGTGCCAAAACGCGCAAACGGTCCCGGGCAAAGGTAAGGCGACACCCGTGGGGATACCGTGCGTGAGGCCGCAAAGTGATATGAGGTGTTACATGCTAGATCGATGTGGCATTGAGTCGGGGTCCTGACAGCGCACCTAACGGCGGAGGGGCAAATTTGAGTAGGCTTTGAAATTAGGGGTAAATCTAAGAGTGGGTGCAAATTAGGGGCATAGATGTAAATGTCCCTTTTTCATATGTTAATAGAACAGGGGCTTCTCCTTGCTCGCAGAAACAGGAAGAGACTCGAGCGAGGCACAACACCCTAGCGGCTAATGCATTCATCGCTATGACTATGGAGTTATCTTCACATGAACTCGCAGATGGAGTTTGTCGTCGACGAAGAAGGGGCTATCATCAGGACTGACCTCCGCCCAAGGAATCCTGCATCCAAGAATTTGTCTATTATCGGTGCTGGTGGTGGTGCGCCTCCACAAGGAGCGAAACTCCAGGGACGGTCTCCTCTTTACCTCAATCTCATAATCTATTGTCCCCCTTACTGGCCCCTTGTCATCTAGCTTCTTTATTGAGAGGCAAAAATAGTTCCTTTTACAGATCGCCAAGAGGAAGAAACCATGCCCCGCACAATAGAACGGTGGCGAGCGTATCAATCCTGATGGGTAAAGTTCATTATACAAGAAGGCTGATCAATTAGGATGGCATTGGTCATATTACGCACTAGTGGCACCAGCGGAAGTAAACTTGAACTCAAAATCTTGTGTCTTCTTTCTAAATTTGGGTACTGGAAGTGGGCCCACCTAAGAACGAAGTCATAGACGGATTCTTCAGATGCAACACCAGGGTGATTCCTTGATAAGATGGCCACAATCCCAGGGAGAGGGATTCTCATAAGTTCATCCTGAAACCTGAAATGAGGCAGATAATGATTTTATGACAGCAATGTCCGCATGAAAGAAGGAAAAAAAAGTATCTCAATCCAGGGGTTACTTACTTTGTTGACAGGAAATTCTTGTATCTGTTTGCAAGGAATTTCTTGGCTGCCTCTATCAGGTCAGTTGCAACTGAAATGGAACATGGGAGATCTAGGCACCTCACTGCCAATTCTGGGGTCATAGGCAGGTCTATGAGCTGCTGACCGCAAAGCTTCATGCAAGAGACAACCTCAAATTTGTCAGCAGCCATCAGGATATCAACCAACAGAGTGGGCTCAGTTGATGTGAACTTGCCACTGTACATAAAATGTAAAAGCTCCATGAAAGCCTTGTACTCTGTTCCAAGTAAGAAATAAGGGCAAGGAGGCATAAAGGATCAATGAAACAGTCCAAAAATCTCACACTGTAACAGTTAAGTAAAGGGGTACAAAAAAGAAGGGGTATCTGTTTTTTGTTTTTGTTTTTGTTTTTTGCCTGCATGATTATTAAGTATGACCATTGATTTCCAATAATCCATTAGGGAAACCCGTAATCATTTGGAGCAAAAGTTTATAAAGGTAACGAGAGACAATTCATATCAAAGTAGAAAAGTGTGGCAGGAAACTATGAAATAGGCCTCTCTATACTAATCAACAGTTTTATTTAAAAAATAAAAAAATACAATGACAATAACAAACTAGAACTATCAGTTATAAGAAGATACACCATACACTTGAGTTACCTGAATCAGCAATTCTAAGTGTTGCCTGTCTCTGGCCAGATTCTTTCATGCCATTTGAGAAAAGCTAAGAAGCATGAAGCTTATAAGAAAGACGAGTTAACTGATTACAGAACAAATGCATTTCAGAAGATCTCGGAATTACCTTGAAGAAGAAATTACTTTTTAAAGAAAGAATCGCTGAGCTGATATATATGGTCTCGACTCGTAAAACTGGTGGACTCGTCACAATAAGAAGAGTCGATATCTTCTCCATCATCACCTGTAAAATACCAAGGTCAGATAAATATAGAGAATCATGCAAAACTAGGGGAGAAGAAACAGAAGACACATAACAGAATTACTAGACAAGTTTTTTGCTGTTGAAAATGTCTTCTCAATGTGCGCCAGTTCATTTAATCAACCCTGACCTTGAGAAATGTGGATAATGTTAAACATCATGAAAACCAAGATACTCAATGAGTTGCATCAAGCATAATAAGCATACTAAAGTAATCATAAATGTTACTCCAAGGATTCTATTCGAGTATACTGAACCCAAGTAACAAAGGTAAAAAAAAAAACAGACCACTCATAATGTTTGTATGAAATTAACAGGCAACCAAAGATGAGCAACGGATTGCCACTACAGTACCGACATACCAGTTGCGTACCACAATTCACATGTATTCATACTAAACAGTAAGTGATCATGAGAAATAATAGAGGTGAACTAAAGGCTAGTGTTGACCTGAAATGTGGAACACACTTGCTGAGATAATCATGAAACTATTTCTTCATATTCCAAGTATGCAGACATGCAGTCAACAAGGCAATAGCATATGGACAATAATCTGTTGTATTTGTTTTGGACCTTTTGATGTTACAGTCAGAGAGATAGCAGTTGGAAGATTCGATGTAGCAGGCGATGAACCAAATTTCCCCACATACATTTTTGTTGTGAAAGATGTGAAATAATTGATCACCTTGTCCCTTTTATCTAAGGCTGACGCATTGTGAACATATACTAATTTGTTAATTGCTTCGTCGGGTTAAATCTGCAATCGATTCATCTTGGGTTTGTGGGGAACTTACTAATTGAAGGGCCTAAACCTAAATTGATTACCTTTAAGCACTGTTCGAATGGGAAGACTAATTAAGATGTGCACGCAACGCAACCGCGGAGGCCTGGGCTGCTGGGTGGCTATGTACGCACCTTCGTCCTCCTCGCGGCGGCGCTTGCGGCGGGGAAGTGAGCCTCCGGCGCCGGGCGCGTCGTTGTCCCGGCCGACGACCTCTACCCGAAGCTCCCGGTCGGAGAAGTCCTTCGAGTTGAAGACGAGGTGATAGGCGTCATCTACCTCCGCCTCCGCTCCTGCCCCCGTCGTCGACATCTCGTTCGTTGTAACCCTAGCAGGGGTGGCGGCGGAAGAGGAGCAAGAAGGATGGATTCAGCTGGTAAATTTAAAGAGCATTACAATCAGTACCTACTTAAAAAGAATCTAAGAGCATTTCTAGCAGATGTGTACCGCCATCTTATAAATTTCGTTTACAGTATTCTGTAAAAAAAATTGCGCAACGGCGGACGGATCGGCAAAACAGATACCGTTAAATCTCGTCGGATTCCCACTCGATTTGAAACATCTACTTCACAACAAAGATCATCAAGAGTTAAGAAGGGATTCCGCCCTAAGGCCATGGATCAATCAGTTCAAGGAATTTACTCCTAACAAATTCTTATAATCCCGCAAAAAAAAACAAATTTTTATAGAAATTCTGGTAGAATTAGAGAGCATTAAAAATACGAGATACTATAGCCCTTTTTTCCTTAAAAAAGAAAGAGTACAAGAATGATGTCGCGGGCAACCGACGAGGGATGGTCACAATAAAGTATACAAATCATTTTCAGATGTAATTGAAGGTAAAGAGGGAAGGTTTCGCGAGACTCTGCTTGGGAAACGGGTCGATTACTCGGGGCGTTCTAAGTAAGATAGTTCTGCACATAGCACCCCGATAGATAGTTCAACCTTGAGCTACTAAACTAGATAAGTCATACTAGCATCTACTCCTAGCCGTCGTCGCCGGAGTCGCCATTACGGGGCGGGGGCTCGTTGTCGTGGAGGGTGTGGTGGATGAGCATGCCGGAGAGGGTCGAGGTGAGTTGGTACTCCTCCAGAAGCGTCGGCACGCGCGCGACCGCAACTGCATCTCCGGCGGCGGCGGCCTCCTTCGCCTCCCACCAGGCGCGCTCGGCCGCCCGGAGGCGCTGGATGGACGGATCGAAGAGCCGCCCGAGGCGACAGAAAGTTGCCCCTGCTGGCACTTCGGTGCTGCGGGTGCGCGCCTGCTCCCTGCGCCTCTCCGACATGGGAGGGGGAAGGAGGAGCTGTCGGCCTCATCGTCGTCGTTGCCGCTTGCGGCCGTCGAACCCACCGTGACCGCCAAACCCCCCGCGACACCCGAACCCACTGCGGTCGCCAAACACCCCGCCACCTCCATGCCCGGAACCCGCGGACGCCATCTCCAGTAAGATCAGGTGGTCAAATACGTTGCATAACATCGTCAGAGGTGTGAGGATTGCCGCCGAAGGATGATTTTTGCGGCGGAGGTGGCTAGGAGGATTGCGAGACGGGAACCCTAAAATGCCCCACACCCGCAAATATATGGAGGAATTGAGGGCGGCTTATGGGCCACCTGTAAAACTTTTTACAGGCTGGGCTGTAACGCCCCGAGACTGATGTGGCAGGTGTCTTCCAGTTATTCGATGTGTTGCCTTGTCATGTGCCTGCGTGTCATGCATTTCATATCATGTCATCATGTGCATTTCATTTGCACACTTGTTCGTCTCATGCATCCGAGCATTTTCCCCGTTGTCCGTTTTGCAATCCAGCGCTCACTCTTTTTCGTGAGATTTCACCAAGTCCCAGTAATCTTTAGGCAATTTCATCGCATCATATCTTTGCACCCGTGGCTTTGTTTTGGACGTGTAGCATATCGAAATGTTCGTCTCGACGAGTACATCATTTCATCTCATTGCATCATTTTCATTCGAGCTCATCTTGATGCCTGAAATGCTATTGAAAGAGGGTTATGTGATGATAATTTCATATCTGTTTCAGCAAATGCACTTTTGTCATTTTTGCCATGATTAATGTGTGCATGCTATGATCCTGAGCTCTACATGTGTTTTGTAGAATGCCATGCCATCTTTACAGGGGTGTATGCCATGTATTTTTGTGATCTTTGTGGTGACTAGCACAAGCATGCAAAGTAGCTTACTCAATGTTGCTGATTTCAGGGAATTTCACTAAGTCTCTGTCCTGTCCTTATTTTTATGCCATATGTTCATGTTGATTCCTAGTGATTCGTGCCTCTTTTGAGCATGATCAGTAAGGATGTTTTGTAGATATTGTGGTGCTCTATCCATTCATGTCTTTGTTTGCAATTATGGAGCACCTTAACTTGACTCAATCGAGCTCTACTTTTGCTATAAAATGTTCCTGGCAGATTGTTAACATGTTTAGCAATTTTGCCGAGCTTGTTGTAGTTGATCTATGCATGCTATGATGTTGTTTTTGCCATGTCTAGCTTCTATGCCATGTCTATTTACTGGGTGTATACTTAGTTTGTCATGAAATACCTTGTAGTGAGTGCATCGAGCTCGTAAACATGCCTACTCGTTATCTGTTTTGCCATGCTCCAGTTTTTCACTAAGTTTAAATCTGTTTATGTTTTTGCTATGTTCACATGCTTGCAATTGTATTTTCTGATCCCTTTTGGCTCATGGTCACTAAGGGACTTTTGTTGTATGCTTTGAGTAGCTTTATTCCATGCCTTTCTTTTCCATAATATGTTCCTGTAGCATGTAGTTATCATGCTTTAAACATTGCTTCCTGATGTTAAATTCCTGATATGCTGTCAATTTCACTAAGTCTGAAACCTGTTATCTTTTGCACTTTTGCCATGCTTGTTTGAACCTGTTATTGAGTGAATTAGCCGTAGCTTAGTGTTCATCTTTTGTCAAGCATCTTGAGTGGATCTCTGCCATGTATTTTGTTGCTATGTTTGAGTGCAGTAGCTTATTTATCTTGATGCAGATCAGTGTCATTTTTGTTTTGCTTGCCATTTCCAAACCGTGCATCCGATTCCGGTGATCTTTATATCGATTTCGACCGAAATCAACTCAACTTTCCAGTGGCACTCTTGGTTTTCCAAGTTGAGGCCGGGTTCAATCATTCCTTTCCAAATCATGCATATGCATCACATACCGCATCCCTCATATCCTTCCATGTTTTGCATCATGTTGCTTGAGCATTGCACGTGGTTGATTGTGTCTCCCTTTGATTGTTGTTCTTGCTTGGGTAGAGCCGGGAGACGATTTCGTGTTCGAGGAGCCCATTGAGTACGTTTACGAGGTTCAAGCTTCCGTTCTTCTTGGAGAACTTTGCAGGTGATGTCTACTACACAACCTTCTTCTTGTAGACGTTGTTGGGTCTCCAAGTGCAGAGGTTTGTAGGACAGTAGCAAATTTCCCTCAAGTGGATGACCTAAGGTTTATCAATCCGTAGGAGGCATAGGATAAAGATGGTCTCTCTCGAGCAACCCTGCAACCAAATAACAAAGTCTCTTGTGTCCCGAACACACCCAATACAATGGTAAATTGTATAGGTGCA